GTGGGAGCCTCCTGGTTGTGTGTCTGACCTGACCTCTGCAGGTTGGCCACTGTTGACCACTCCATATCTTCACCTCAGTAAGCTCGGCCACCTGGAAGATTCCATTCCGCACCACTGAGTGCTGGGGACCCAAATCTAGGCCTCTAAGCAACACAGACACTACAGATGCAGGGTGGTGTAGGGAACTGCCTGCCCCTCCTGGTGGGAGGACAGAGTCACCTGCTTCCTGGGGAGGAGACCTAGGGCCTAGCTGAGCCCCATTAGAAAGCAGAGGGACGGCGGGACAGGACTGCAGTGGTGGGTGTTTTCCTTGAATGCAATGCACATTCCCCCGCTTAAAGGCAGTCTTTTCACTTCCAAAGGATTCCAGCTGCTTAAATTCAAGGTAAAGAATAAGCCCTGGTCAAGAAGCTTCTCGGGGGGCCTTTCGGTTTTCATGGGCTTGAGAAGGGACGCACTTTAAGATGTTTGCCTTACGACATACAGATGGCCAAGAGACACATGAGAAAATGCTCAGCATCGCTAATCATCAGAGAGATGCGAATTAAAGNAATAGACACTTCTCCAAAGAGGACATACAGATGGCCAAGAGACACATGAGAAAATGCTCAGCATCGCTAATCATCAGAGAGATGCGAATTAAAGCCACAGTGAGGTATCACTCCATGCCTGTCAGAATGGCACCATCAACAAATCAACAAACGACCTGTGCTGGCGAGGGTGTGGAGAAAGGGGAACCCTGGTACACTGCTGGTGGGGATGCAGACTGGGGCGACCACTATGGAAAACAGTATGGAGGTTCCTCAAAAAATTAAAAATGGAGCTGACTTTTGACTCAGTGATCCCATTCCTAGGAATATATCCTAAGAATCCTGAAACACCAATCAGAAAGGATATATGCACCCCGATGTTCATAGCAGCACAGTTTACAATAGCTAAGATCTGGAAACAGCCCGAGTGCCCATCAGTAGCTGAGTGGATAAAAAAGCTGTGGGACATTTACACCATGGAATACTATGCAGCTGTAAAGAAGAAGGACCTCGTACCCTTTGGGACAGTGTGGATGGACCTGGAGAAAATTATGCTAAGTGAAATAAGCCAGGCAGAGAAAGACAAATATCACATGATCTCGCTTATATGTGGAATCTAAAGAACNTACCCTTTGGGACAGTATGGATGGACCTGGAGAATATTATGCTAAGTGAAATAAGCCAGGCAGAGAAAGACAAATATCACATGATCTCGCTTATATGTGGAATCTAAAGAACTTAATAAACTGATGAACAGAATAGATTCAATGACATGGAAGCATGGATCAGACTGACGAATGTCAGAGGGATGGAGGAGGACGGGTGGGTGGAGGGGGAGAGAATAACCAAAGAATTTATATGCTTATATGCACAACCCAAGGACACGGACAGATGTCCCTTTTTCTCCCCAATGACCCGTTCCACCCATCCCCTCCCCCTCCCCAGTCCCTCTCCCCACCATTGTCCGTGTCCTTGGTCACCCAGTCAGCCAACATGGGGTTTGTGATGCTGTTAGGGGCTGTGGGTGGCTCAAAGAAATACAACACACAGTCTTGTTATAAATGAGTTGAAGCTATGAATACACAACGACAATACAAAACAGAAGGAAGTAAACGCTGAGTTTGGAAGGTAGACGACATTGAAAAGGCTCAGAGAAAGAAGAGATCAGCTAGGAACGGGGGCAGACCCCAGAGGGAGAGAGGCAGTCAGGGAAGGCTTCTTAAGGAGGAAGCATTTTGGTGGGTGCAGGGTGCCCCAGAGTGCAGGGTCCAAATACAGGGAGTAACCTGAGCAAAGGTGTGGAGGCAGAGGCAACCTGTGCCCACTGCAACCCTCTCTGCAGGGCCTGGGAGCCTGCATATGTGTGTGTAGGGGGAGGTGCTCCTTGTAATGTCCACTGACATTCACTGCTTTGGTGACACTGCTTTAATCACCTTTTAAGGAAGGCATTGTCCTCTTCCATCAGGCCCTGGGCCCAAAGGAAATTCCTTTATCTTCTTTGTCACTAGGACTCAAGCTCCCCCCACCCCACACACACACACACACTTTTGAGCAATAGCACCCATTTCCCCTTCAACTTTCCTGGTCATTGTCTCTCTAGAGGTGTGTGTCCCTCTACCCTTAAAGAGAAGCTAGCCACTGTCTCATTTCTCACTGTCCCTGGACTGTCGCTATCTCCTTGCCACCACCTTCCTTAGAACACTGCTCTTTCTGTCCTAGGAAAGCATCTTCTCATCAAGCCTGCCCTGACCATGCCAGCTCCCCAGGGTGTCCCTGGGAGCCCTTGCCAGTGGCCCAGGGGTCAAGCCTCTGGAGATGGGTAGGCGTAGGTTTAAACCCTGTCTCTGCCACTTTCCAGCTCTGCGCTTAGCCTAGTTACTTCCTTCTGTAGAAACTCTTTTTTTCCTACCCAACACCTTTCCCATTCTGATAACCAGCACCTTGCTTCTCCTTTGGGGGAAGCATCCTCTTCTGCTTTTAGCCTTCATAGGTTAAGGGGGGCTGCCCAGTTCACTGTTTGGTTCAGGGATGGGCATGTGATCCAACTGGGACAAATCTTGGGACTTTTAATGGTTAGAAAGGGTCAATCTATTCCCACTGGGATTGATAAGCTAGTAAAACAGAAATCTGAAGCTGGTGAGGGTAGTCTTTGTCACCACAAAGAAAGTCTAATTTATACACATAACCTGCAAATTAAAAAATAGAGAAAAGGAACATAGATAGATAGATTCCTGGTGATGTTGTTTGAGCACCTGGGTACAGCAATGCCTGAAGGCATCCCCAGAGTTTTCAGTTTGTGAACCTATAACGTCTTCCTTTTTTCTTTTTTTCTTTTTTTGGCTCAAGCTAGTTTGAGTTGGTTTTTGTCACTTGCCACAAACAATCTCAATTAAAGAAAAACTTAACTTGCAGGCTTGATGAGAGCATTAAATGAAATGACACATGCATAGTACTCGGCAAAAGCGGGTACCACCCGATGATTGGTGGCTTTTGATAACTAACTGAATCTGCCTTCTTAAGGTCGAATTTCCATAATGTGTAGTTCTATAGTAGTACAAAGCTACTTTTTCTTTCTTTCCACCACTTCGACCAACCTTTCTCTGTGAAATCTCTGCCTTCCTTGACTTTCTTAACCGCAGCTCTGTGTCCTTCCTAAATGTTCAGGTCTTCTTTCTCACCCCACCTCAGGGATGAGACAGGATGGGAGATTCCAGGATCTGGAGTGGGTGATATCTTCTCTGCCTTATGTGCCCATACCCCAGGACAATCAGTATGAACTAAACCCAACCTAAGGCAAAGATTTTCCAAACTTACTTCAAATGTATCCCTCGCAAGGACACCAGGTACTCAGGGAAGGTCTACACTGCCATCTAGTGGACATCTGCAGCAATACCATGAGTGTCAGAACCCTCAATCCTCTGCTGAGAATCCCTCTTAGGACAGTTAATAGGCTGTAAAATCATCTGGTCCAACCTCCTCACTCCTTAAGTGACAAACACCAGGATGCGTGAATTAATGGTGAGCTGAGAGTTCTGTCCCACCAGGCGACATCATTCTCATCTCCAAAGGACTGGGCTCCTGCCCTGCTTCTTCAGCCCTCCACCCCCTGTCCCAAGAGTTAGAATCACAGCAACCTACATTTCCCCTGCTTCTCCCACCTGTCCATGGTGTGGCCCAGGCCAAGGGTCTCCACGGGGGGAGAGTTGACATTTGTGCATCAGTGTGCATGCGTGTGCAGAGGACTTGGAGGGTGGAGGGAGAGGAGACTCAGCAGGTCTCCTGGTTACTTGCTTGCTAGGACTCCCAGAGGAAAGGATTCTTGTCACATTTGCAAACATGTACTGCCAAAGCCTGTCAACGCTTCGGTCCCTGATAGTGAAAAACAGTCCAAGAAAGAAAGAGAAACCTACCCCTCTGCCTCCAAGTAATCTGCGTGACCCCACCCTCACTGACTACCTTGCTCTGCCTGTGCTGACAACTGTTGCAGGCTGCGCTGACAGAAGGGAGGGGCCTGCCATGGCCTCTGTATGTCACCATGCAGAGGAGCCCTGGAGGCTGGCCTTGGTGTGCCTGCCATCACACACTGATGATGACCCTTTGTTTCCACCCATTCGTGGTCTGAGCCCTGGACATATGACAGTCCTTGTTCCTGGGTTGACACCGGCACCTTCCACTAAAGCAAAGCAAAAAGTGAAGGTCACCTTTCACCCCTGGATGCTTTGGGGACTCAGTCTGGCCCAGGAGTCAAGGAAGAAATAAAGGGCGACCAGAACACTGGAGCAGCTCTGCCAGGACATGGCTCGGATACTGGGAGCAGCAGCCACAGACCCACTTCCCGGTTCCATGGCCCTTCCCCAAACCAAGGGAACCTTCCAGATCAATATGATACTAATCATTTCCCAGTAAAAGGAATAGTTATTTCCAGTTTCTAAAGTTCTCCAATCTTCTATTTTAGACACCTTCAGGTGAGCTTCTGAGCATGTTTCATATTGTGATGACTGAGTCCAGACACACTGACCCCCACTTGTTCAGCCTACATGAGATGTGCTGCCCTTTACAAACAAGCTCCTCCCCACTCAGAAAATCATTCTGAAAGCCCAGCCACCTTGAGCCTTGGGAAAGAACTCCCCATACCCCTCTCCTCCTTTTCCCTGTGGACTCCAAAGCATGCCCCAGCTGGTCTCTGCGATGACCGAGGGGCCAGGCTTGGGGGCTCAGGAACTGCAGAAGCAGTGAAAGGCCCCGGGCAGAGTGGCCCCTGAGCCTGGACAAAGCTCTCCCAATCTGCAATCCGCCTACCCACCGAATCTCCTCCAAGGCTGTGGGGCTGCTCTAAGGAAGGCACATGTTTATGGCAACAGCCATCTGTTACCACCAGACTCAACCCAGATGGCTCTGCACACAGCTTCTAGTCACTGAGATGAGCAAGCTCAGAGGCTCTCATCGTCCAGGCCAGACCTGCTCACTTACCTCCATGGCCTCTGGGAACGTGACATTTGGATGGGGCCATTTGGTGATCTTCTCCCTGTAGTTGTTGCATTCAGGAACATATATGCAGGTGAGATTCTTCAACTCTTCGTAGGAAATGTGAAGGCCCCTACAGAGAGAGAGAGAGAGGTGGTTGGCCCATGTCAGGGTTTTAGGGAGCCTGGGGTTTATAAGGCTTCAGTCTAGCACTGTTGGGAATGTAAAGTCAAGTGGGATTGAATCCTAGACCTGCCACTAACTAGCTATGTGACCTGTGTGGCCTAAGAGGTACTTAACCTCTTGGTGCCTCAGTTTATTCACCTGTAAAATGGGGATACTAACAGTATCTTAGTACAGGGTTGGTGCTAGAAGTAAGTGATTAGTGCAAAGCGATCAGGAAGTGTTAGCTATCATCAGGGCTTCCTTCTCAAAAAGAACATACATCATAGGCAAACATGGTCAGTGTCTTTAAAGTAGTATTTGATTTATAAGACTAGTATTTAAACATTGCTTTTCAGGAATTTATCACATAAAGAAAGGTTTAGCAAATTAACACAGCCTTCTTCATGGGCACAGACTGTTCTTTCCCCTACACAATTGAGATCCTCTCAATGTTTGGAAATCCCACCACTTAAATAATCTACTTCTTTGGGTCAGGTATTGCCCATACCCTAGGCTCCTGAACTACTATTCATTGCACTTTCAAAATGCAAATATCTCTCAGCGGGTGAAATACCTAGTCACTAAGACTATAGTATGCATTTATTTATCTACTTTCTCTCTGAGAAGAATGGGTCTGAACAGCCTGAGTGCTCTGAGGATTGGACTCAATGGGAAGGCTGATCCCACACCACCACCAGGTGAGCCTTAAGGGCTCACCTGTATTTGAAACTCAGAGATGTAAGCCAGGCTTTCAAATAGATTTTTTAAAAATAAAATCTTTGTGCCTTTTTTTTTTTTACTTGCTTCTTTCTTCTTGCCCTTCTGTGATGTTTTGTCACAAATACCCAGGGTCTCCATAGGGTTTGTCAACTGATGGTCATTGGTGCCAATTCAAAACCAACAGTAATCCCCAATTTGGGTTATGGTGAAGGAGATGACTTCTTCACAGCTCAGCTGTGATACAGCATGACTGTGGAACAGCTCAATAGTGTTACATCTCAGTTACGAAGCAGCAAGGCTGCGAGGCACCCTGGGTGTGACGTGGCATGGCTCCTTTCCAGCTAGACAGCTCTGCTCCACTCAGGTAAATTCCACTCCGGCGAGGAGTAAACAGTCTTTGGTGGATAGAAAAAGTGTGCTCTCTGAGCTGGAGGAGAGCTGACTTATATGCAGAGAAGTCCACATCCCCTGGTTAGTTTGTTCTCATGCAAAAGAGGACCCCAAATCCTCACAATTTGATTGGTCCAAAAAGCACAGTTCTGCCTGGCCAGGCGTGGCTCAGTGGTTGAGCATCAACCTAGGATCCAGGAAATCAAGGTTCGATTCCCAGTCAGGGCACATGCCCGGGTTTCGGGCTCGATCCCCAGCAGGGGGCGTGCAGGAGGCGGCCGATCAATGACTCTCTCATCATTGATGTTTCTCTCTCTCTCCCTCTCCCTTCCTCTCTCTGAAATCAATAGATATATTTTTTAAAAAAAACCACAAAAGACTGTCCTGATTGGTCAGAATGGAGTTGCTCTGATTGGTTGGTGAAGATGCTAATGAGGATATAGCTGTGCAGCTCCAATTGGACAGGAAAAATCTCATTCCTATTGGTTGAAATACAATTCGGGGAACTCCTTTATAAGGGCTGGCTCAGATGGCAGGAACACAGTACAGGCGGGCAGCTTGCAGGCTTGTGTTAAAAGCTCCTGTTGGCAACAGCTGCTAGACTCTGTTTATAAATTTTAGCCCAGTTAGCCACCAGGAGCCCTTCTCAACAGGAGCATTCATTCTCAGGTCAACAGATTTACTTGGTTAAGATGACTCATTGAGAGAAGGAGATGTGAGTCCTCAGCCTTTCCAAATAGCCCAGCATGGCTGAGCAGCTCCGCAGCCCACCATTGGTCACCCAGAGCCGCCCATGGTTTCCTGCTGGGCATGATGCCTGAAGGGGATCCAGTGAAAATTTATTTGGGGTAGTAGACCTGGAGGGGGAGATCCCAAAGTCTGAACCTGGGAGAAAGGCAAGGACAGCTTTCTGGTGAGGAGCCCCACATTCCCCCTTCTGACCCCACCCTTCCAGAGGCTTCTGAGGTCCTATCTAGGCAAAGGCAGCTGGGACATGCAACACTCGTCAGATACAAGATTACTCCTCAGGCCAACACCCCAATGCCAGGACGCAGGCCAACTGAGGCAGGACAATTCACTGATGCCACGTAGCTGAACCACTGGCTTGCTGAGCAAACTTCCAAGTTTACAGTCATTGCTTTTGGATGGCATGGTTATAATAGCTTTTGAAGAACTTTTAGAGGATGGGTTTTCATTTATCTTCACAGCAGCCTTTCAAGGATCATTTGGTTTGTTTCTACCACAACTCCTGCTGCTGCAGCTTGTGAGAACTGAGGCCAAGAGAGATATAGAGGTGGAGATTCATCACATGGCACAGAACTGGGAAAGGCCAAGGTTCAGGGAGGAGGGAAACTGAGGGCCAGAGGGGCCTTCCCTGGGGAACAAACAGGTCTCGTGTTTTTATCCGGGTAGAGTTGCTGCATGTGCTAAAGTAGTGAAATAAAATCAGCAGGTTGACATTTGGTGAATGGGCCTAAAGCCACTGAGAGTGGACTTGCAAGGTATATGCCAGGGGGCCAGGGTCAGTGCCCCAAGCCCCAGTCACACCCATGGGGCACCGCCAGGCAGGGTGTGAAACTTCCTGTTGCTTGACATAGCAGGACAAGCCAAGGGTCATGCACGGGCCTCTGTCCTGATCAGCAGCTTCAGACGATCAAACCAGCCTAAAAGAAGATCTGGACAAGCCGAAGATGAACGGAATCAAAAATTAAATCTAGTAAAAATACACTTTAAAACTTGCATTCAAGTTCATAAACCTTGAAGGGCTATCTTCCTGCAGTGAGTGCTTGCTCTGCTCACGGTATTCCTTACGTTGGGCATGTTCTAATCTCTACCCCAAGATTTGGGGCAGCTCCTGTTCTCTTGACAAGACTAGAATGCATCCGAGAAAGTGGAGGGAATCTCACCTTGGGCATTATCTGACACTGCAATACAGATGGGGTGGGGGTTGGGGGGAGGAAATGTCATTTATTGGACCACCCCAATAGATCAGGTGCATCACATAATACTATTCCATTTCATACAATAATATCTTGTAGCAGCTACTGTCATTGTTCTCATTTCCCAGATAAGTATACTGAGACCCAGAGAAAGCTAAGGAACTAGCCCAGGTTCTCATAATTCGTGAACTGAGGTAGAAAGAGGGACATGGGTGTAGCAGACAGTGTCCAAGATGCCTCCAATGATCCCTGTGCCCTCGTGTTACCCCTCCCCTTGAATGGGGGCTGGATTTATGACTTGCTTCAAATAAAGAGAATACAACAGAAGTGATAGGATGTCACTTCCAGAATTATAAGGAGATGATGGCTTGTGCTTGGAGGCCCTCTTTCACATGTTCTTCCTCTCAAATCCTTACTTTGAGCTGCTATGTTGTAAACAACCCAATGGAGAGGCCACATGGCAAGGTGACCAAGGCTGTCACAGCCACATGAGCGAGCGCAAAAGCAGAGCACCCCACCAGTTCAACCTTCAGATGAGACTGCGGCCCCATCAGCTTCACTGAAACCTCCTGAGAGACCTTGAGCCAGAGACACCCAGCTAAGCCAGGCCCAGAGGAAATGTGAGACAGCAAATGTGTGCAGCTGCTTCATTTCAGGGTAATTTGTTGTGCAGCAATAGAAAGCGACTACAGCAGGCTTGTCTACACTTTCCCCCCCATACCACACAGCTTCCCCAGGGAGTCACTTATCTTTTCCAGGCTTCTGTTTGACCCTTTGTCCTTGTAAGAATTGGATTAAAGAAAAACAGCTTCCCAGCTGTGCCCTTAGAAACGGCTCAGGATTCCAGCTGCCCGAAAGCAAGGGTGGAGATGAAGCTGCTTTCACAGAGGCATGAGGCTTCTCAGTGGGCAACCCCACCCCCTACTGCATGGTCCTCAATGTGAAAGTGTGGGATGCCACACTTAAAAAAGAGCAATGGGTCTGTGTTCAACCGACCCTTCCTGAAAGTGCGGGCCCAGAGCCAAGGCCCCTGAGGAGGAATTGACAAATGGAGGTGGAAACCCAGCTGTGGGGGAAGACAGGGGCAGGGGGCATGACATCTGTCTCCAAACATTCAAAGGACCATCCTGACCAGGTAGCTCAGTTGGTTGGAGTGTCGTCCCAATACACCAAGGCTTCAGGTTCAATCCTCAGACAGAACACATGCAAGAATCAACCAATAAATGCATAAGCAAGTGGAACAACAAATCAATGTTTCTCTCTCTCTCTGGCTCTCTTTCTCTCTTCCTCTCTCTAAAATCAATAAACAAAAGAAAAAAGAAGAAAGGCAGCCCCTTTCTTGAGATTAGGATGTACTCTGAAGGGTGGAGATTTTTCAGCACAGAAGAAAGGGCTTTGGGGCCACTTGTGTGGGGCAGCAGGGAGAGAGAACATAGTTGAGTGGACTCACCCAAATAAAGGGGGTTGTACAACTATGGTTCTTTTGATTCTGAGATGGAGCCAGGGTTCTGACTCTATGTTTTTGTCAGTCTGGAGTAGGTGAGCTTTTGTTCCAGAAGAGCTTTTCTCTTAATGTTTCCAGCTGCTGTCACTATACATAAAATTCCTCCTTTATAGATCAGTCCCTTTAGGTATCAAGTTCTTACTTGAGGAATTTCCTGTTAGACTCTAAATACGCATAGGAGGAGTGGCTTCAGGTTGTGGGGGGTTGTCTCTCATAGGTCAGAAGCCTGAGCTGAGTAGGTTTCTTGGGGCAGGGCCCCAGCGTAGGATGTACTGATCCCTGCTCAAGGCTCTGATGTGTCCATGATGTGCTCACATTCAGTGATGAGCTTTCATAAGCAAAAATCTCCAGCAGGAATAAAGATAAAGCTTCCTTTTTGCAACAATGATTTACAACCTGAAGACATTTCCTAGCACACAACTTTAGTGTCAGGAGTCCATGTTTCTCAAACTGGTGTGTTCTGGGGAGTCCTAAGAATGGCTCCTGCTATGGTCTGAATGTTCATGTCAACTCCAGTAAGCACACACATCTGATCATTTCTTATGCTTTCCACAGTGTGGGAGACACAGGGAAGCACAGAGGCACCCCACAAGGGGACAGTCACCATGGTCCAGCCCTGCATGCCCTGCCCAGTGGACCTGCCAGCTGTGGGGCCTTGACCTTCTGCCTACCGGAGGAAGAAGTCAGTTCACCGCTGAAGTTTCCGCTCAGCAGAGCACCTAGAGGGCCGGCGCCCATGTGTGAGAGGCAGACATATTCCCTCCTTTCTCCCACACAAAACTTCACCCAGGACTGTTTCACTAGAGTTTAAAAAATGTACTGATGGGGGCAAAATTTGTTGGCGGGGGGCTTCAACTACCTAACTTTTTAAGGGAAAAGATGTATTTATCTTTCTAAAAGCAATGTCTGTAAGAATTCAAACATACATGAGAAGATAGAGAAAGAAGTTCCTCCTCCCTCTCTCACTTCTGTTGGCTTCAGTGGGAAAACACACTGGCCACTGGGGGGGTGGCAAAGTGTCTGGGGCAGCCCTCAGGATGACCCATGATGAGTAAGACTGACTTTTCTAACCAGCAGTCTATGAGGAGGGAGCTAAAATCCCACACAGCCAGAGAGAATCTCCTGCCCTGGGAAGGGAAAAATCCAGCCTCCCCGCCCAGCCTCTTCCCTGGACAGCAACCAGTGGCCATATCCCCTGAAAGGCCAGCCCATCCCAACACTCTTGGGGCCTGTTACTGAAAAGCAAACAAGCAGCTCTCAAACTGCCACTTTTCTTTAAAATGCCATTTTGTGGGGGGTGGGAGCATTTCAGGCTATAGCGCAGGATGGTCTCTCAGGGTCCCAGGAAGGAGGGTGAGGCCTGCCCCTCAGAGCCCCAGGAAGGGTCAGCCACATCCACATACTGTCCTAGTCCCAGGAGAGCAACCCTCTGGAAGGCAGGAGCCCAGCTCAGAGTCCTCTATTTTCTCAGTGCCGTCCCCATCAAGGTGGTCTCATTGTCTGCCTGTCTGCAAAGGCTGCCTTAGGAGAAGGTGCTCCTCGGTTCTGGAAATACCCTTCCCGAGACCTCTGCCCAGCTGCTTTCTGGGGTCCCACCAGCCTTACGTGCAGAAGACATTATCCTCGGCAGGCAGCTGCTGGTACACACACACGTCCCTTTTGTCCCAGCCTCTGGTGATCATCATTGTGAGGCCCAGAAACAGGGCTCTTGTGACCAGCCTCATTGTCCAGCCCATGGGCACCTGGAACAGAAGGAGACTTTAGCTCTGCCAGCCCCTGTCACCTCGCAAGCCCCACCCCAGGAGCCCACCTGGAGGAACAGAGCTCTCTAGAGAGCAGAGGGAAAGCAGCGGGCAGCTGCTGGGCATAAGTGCTTTAGGAGGACCTGGGCCTATGCCAAATTGGACTCAGTTTGCAGCCTTGGCCGAGGCCCCTCCTCTGTCAGAGCAAGGCTCTTCTGTCACTCAATTCCTGGCTGCCAGGGCCCGGAGCAGGCTGCAAAGCAGAGGTGCTTATACAAGCCCCGGCACAGTGCTGGTGCATGCTGCCCCCTTTCCTGCAGCTCTACAAGCCTTCTTCTCTGGAGACAATTATTTTGGGAGAGTGCTGAGTTCAGCACTGCTGCAAGGTGCAGTCAGAAGAGCCCTTCTGTCCTCAGCTGGCCCTTCAGAGCTGGCCTCAGGGCTGAGGTGGCCCTGCCCCACGTGAGCAGCTCCTCCTACACAAGATCGCTGCATCCAAGCACATCCACTACTGGGCAGCCGAGGCTGTCAAAACAAGTGAAGGAGGAACTGTGGGCAGGAAAAGCAGAGCTGTCCAAGAGGCACAGCCCAGCCAAACACCTGCTTGAATTAAAACAACTAAGGTCAGGTTCTTGCAAGCACCCCAGAACCTGCCCCCAGCCCGAACCCTGTCACCAGCTTCCCAGGGTTTGCCTTAAAGCCAAAGGAGCAGGCTGGGCCTTGACCAACCAACCACACACAGGGCAAGTGGTGAGGGCAGGGTGAGGAGCTGGTCTGAGGAAGGGGGGCCGAGGGCTGAGACATACTAAACTCCTCCTCAGGAAACAGGCCTGCAGGAAGGGGCGGGTGGGACTCTGATTGGAAACAGAACTGGCAGGGGAAGGTCAAAGGCGGTTCTCCTGCAGCCTTTCCAATTGATCTACTCTATTCTATGAGATAGGGATGTGGGGAAGTTCACCAGCCCTGAAAGGAGGAATTCGGAGCTCTGCTCTGAGCTCCTTCAGGCTGCTGGTGGAATGGGAGTGCTATTCCTAACATGCACCAGCTCCCCCTTTCAGAAACAAATAATATGACCTTGTGGCCCCTGTGCCTTGCTAAGGAATATGAGATTATAGCCATAAAGTTATGCAGCTAGATCTTTAGAGAAACTATTTCAGCATAGCTTGCTTTTTGGTTGAATTCCTGCTTTCAGGATTCCAGCTTCCAGCAAAAAGCCCTTCTTTGGGGCTACACTTCTTAATAATGAGACTCCCTGAAGTATGACGAGGGCTCCCCCACAGAGAACTCATTCCCAAGAACTCCCCAACTGGAAAGTGTCTCCTGGTAGCCTCCTCACAAAATGGTTGTGAGAATGAAATGAAATTAATTAGGTAAGACACTTAGTGAACTACCTGGCACCTAGGGAATGCTCAATAATTTATGGATGGTATAGGTATTCTTCCACAGATCCATCCATTCATTTGCTCATTCATTCACAATCCAACAGGTATTGAGTGCATCCCCTGTGCTGGGCCCATGCCAGTCCCGAGGTATAAGGTTCCTGCCCTCATGGAGCTCACAGGACAGCTGAGCCAGAGGGCAGTGCTGCCAGAATGATTGTTCAAGGTCAAGAGTCTCTTGTCTTCAGAGTGGCAGCCACTAGAGAAGGCAATACTTTCCTGGGTGCCAACAGCCCTTAGCACCAGCAATGAATGTCTGTCTGGAGGAGGGGGAGCATCCTCAGTGCAGGGTTGCTCCTGGTGAGCCCACTCATATCAGCAATTCCTTCTCACTCAGTATGCTCCAGGCTTTTATCATTGAATCCTCATGATGATCCTCTGAAGTACCAGAGACTTGGGTAGTAAGTGGCTGACCTGGGACTTGAACCCATGCTATCTCACTCCAAACTCAATGCTCCTTAACCACTCTGCTCTACTGCCCCCTCTTACAGCTTGGTTGTTCTCTCACTTGCTCCACTTCTAGTCCCTTTGTTCTTGGAATAGGCCCAGAATCTTCCACGTAGCCCACACTGCCCTGTTTGATCTGGCTCTTCCTGCCTCTCTAGCCTTGCCTCTCTACTCTCCACTGCTCACTTCTTAACTCCAGCTATTCCCTCAAGCTCCTTCTTGCTCCAGGGCCTTCCTATGCCCTGCCCCACTTCCCACCCCATTTTGGTAAATAGCAGAAGCTCATTTCCCTAGAGAAACTTACTTTGACCCCCAGGGTCCATTAGATTTCAGTTAGACAGAATTGGAGCCCTTGACTCCTTTCCTTACTGTTCTCATATAAATTCTTTTGTAATTATTTGCTTAGTGATTTGCTCATAGTTCCAGGCAGCACTCAGTCTGTGTCTAGCATTCCAAGTGCAGTCCCCAGCCTGTCTAGATGCTTCATAAATTCTTGTTTGAATGCCTGACAGACTTGACACTTCTGTTTCTCATACTCCTTCTATTCACTCAATAGCTCCTAACGCTCTATAAACATCTGTAGGAAACTAACCACGCAGGTTGGCACCTGGCCCTGGATTCCTTTTGCTTATTTATCGAACCTTCTCTAGCTTGTTTTCCTACAGAGATATCTGACAGAATGTAGTGGTTCTCGGTATTTTCAAATCTGATATTTCTCTTGGGGGTTCACAGGATTTTGCTTCATGTTTAGTCTTAGATCTAGGAGGGGCACGTTCAAGGCCAGGGAGGCACAGCTCCTCCTCCCCATCACCAGTCTGTTTTACTCAATTGACTCACTTCTGGAAGCTCCCATCTCCAGATCCATCTCTGAAGCCCCTTTCTCTTATTTCAGTCACCTGGGCTGGGATGATCTCCCAACATCATCAATCAGGACAAACCTGTGAGCTTCTTGAGGTGCCTTGATCCATCCAAACCCCGGGATCTGCTGGACCAGTGCTGCTGAATACTTAACTCCCTGTCTCATCCCTCCAGGCCTCCTGTGCCTGACACTCCCTGTCACTACCCAGGTGTCATCTCCTTTCTTTATCCAGACACAGACTCTTATCCTTTCCCTTTCTCCTAAACTTTTCCACTAATGCCCTCTAGAATCTCTGAACTGTAGTGACCAAATTCCTCCTGGATGCCAGGGGAACCAACCATGTGATTGGAGGGTTGAAACTTCCATTCCCCACCTATCACCACCACCCTCACCCCCATGGAGAATCAATGACTAGTGGCCAATGATGTAATCAATCATACCTATATGATGAGACTTCCATAAAAACCAAAAAGGACAAGGTTCAGAGAGTTTCCAGGTTGGTGAACACATGGAGATTTGGGGAAAGTGGCACACTCCGAGAGCATGGAAACTCTATGCCCCTTCCCACGTAACTTATCCTATGCATCTCTTCCATCTAGTAAGTAAAATGTTTCTCTGAGTTCTGTAAGCCACTCTAGTAAATTAATCAAACCCAAGGAGGGGGGTCATTGGAACTTCTAATCTATAGCTAGCAGGTAAGAAGCCCAGGTGATAACCAGGACTTAAGATTGACATCTGTGGTATTTTGCTATGAAAGCCTGGAAAACTAATACATTTGTCTTGTTCCAGATCCTCAGGAAAATTTTTTCAGTCTTTTACTATTGAGTATGATGTTTGCAGTGGGGATTTCATATATGTTGTCAGCAGGGTTGGTTTCTCTTGAGGCCTCTCTCCTTGGCTTGCAGATGGCCACCTTCTCTCTGTGTCCTCACATAGTCTTTCCTCTGGTGTCTCTTTGTGTGTCTACATTTTCTTCTTATAAGGATGCTAGTAGGATTGAATAAGACCTATCCTAATGGTCTCATTTTAACTTAATCACTTATTTCATCACTTGTATCTTCAAATACAGCCATATTCTTGGCACTGGGGTTAGGGCTTCATCATGTAAATGCTGGGACGGGGGTGGGGACACAATTAAGCCCATGATAATAAGGATGCCCACTTTCACTGCTTCTATTCAACACACTATTAGAAGTTCCAGCCAGAGCAATTAGACAAGAAAAACAAATAAAAGGCAAATTGGAAAGGAAGAAGTAAAGTTACCTCTGTTTGCAATCAGAGGTAACATGATTTTATATAGAAAACTAATAATTCAGACAAAGCTAAGAAGTGAATTCAACAAGGTTTCAGAGTACAAACTCAACACACAAAAACCAGCTGCATTTTCATACATTAACAAAGAACAATCTGAACAGAAATTTAGAAAAGAATTCCATTTACAATGGAATAAAAAAGAATAAAATACTTAGGAATTAACTAAGGAGGAGAGAGACTTGTACATGGAAAACTACAAAACATTGCTGAAAGAAATTAAAGAAGACACATATAAATGAAAAGAAATCCTGTGTTCATGGACTGGAAGACAATGTTGTTAAGATGCCAATACTACCTAAAGCAATCTACAAATTCAGTGCAATCTCTATCAAAATACCAGTGATGTTTTGCACACAATAGAAAAATCCATCCTAAAATTCATATGGAATCTCAAGGGAACTCAACTAACTAAAACAACCTTGAAAAGAAAAATAAAGTTGGAGGAATCACAGTTCCTGATTTCAAAAGTTACTACAAGTTACTTTAAATGTAAAGGCACAGGGTAGCTAAATGGAGAAGAAAACAAGCCCATACATAAGCTGCCTACACAAGACCCACTTTCAGATTGAAAGACACACAGAGACTGAAAGTAAAGAGATGGAAAAAGATATTTCATGCAGATGGAAATCAACAAACAAAAAAAGTTGGGGTAGCAATACTTACATCAGACAAAATAGACTTTAAAACAAAAGCTATGAACAAGAGACAAAGAAGGACCTAGCAATTCCATTCTGGGTATTTATCTGAAGAAACCCAAAACACTAATTTGAAAGGACATACGCATTCTTATATTCACTACAGCATTATTTACAATAGACAAGATATGAAAGCAACCACAGTGTCCATCAATAGGTAAACAGAGAAAGTTGTGGTACATACATGTAATGAAATATTACTCAGCCATAAAAAAAGAATGAAATCTTGTCATTTGTGAC